CGCGAGGAGGCTGCCGCCAGCCTGCTTCAGGCGGCATGGAGATGGGCTTTCTCTAGTGGCCAGCATCTCCCGAGGGCCGGCTTGCTGCCCCAGTGCCTGCTATTCCTTGGCCGTGAAACTGTCCTTCCTTCTTGTTGGCAGCCTTCAGCCTCACACTGGGTGAAACTCAGGCCTGTCCCGTCTGGCTCCCTGTTCTCCCTGCATGTCCTCCTCGTCCTCCTTTCCCCGCCGCTTCTTCCTCCTCCTCCTCCTCCTCCTCCTCTCCCTCCCTTTCCCACTGCTGCTCCTCCTTCCCTCCCTCCTTCATCTGTGGGAGTTATGCGTGCTGGCCTCTCCCTCCCAGGCAGCCTGGTCCCTGCATTTCCAGCGGTAGGCATAGCCGGCGGCCTGTGTGCACATCACCCCTACCCCTGGCCGGCAGAGATGCTCCGCGGGGAGCTCCCCCAGGCGCCCCGCCTGGCCTCTGCACCTTGTGAACGGTGGCAGCCCCTGCGGCCCCAGCGGCCGGCCTGTTCTTTCGGAGGCAGCTCTGATGAGGCTGCAGCTGTCTCCCGTCTTCAGCCTGGGATGGACAGGCCTCGGTGTCAGGCTCCTCCCGGCCCAGGTGCTGGCCTGGAGCACCAGGAATGGGAGCTGTGGGGCGGGACAGAGACGGGAGGCAGGATCAGATCCTGCTTTCAGAAAGCCCCATGCAGTATTCCCGAGCCCAGGTGCATCTGGCGCCTGAAGCCACAAACAGTACCGGGCCACGTGCACTGTGCCCGCTATGCTCACCCTGGGGCGAAGCCTAGTCCCTGAGTCCTGCAGCTTGCGGTGAGAAGCGATTAGCACAAATTTCCATTTCCTCCATCACAGCTCACAGGTAGAAGATGCGCTTTTGCCACTGATTTTAGCAGCCTCTGCATGGGATGTTTTTCTTCCCTGAGAACATTTAGCGTCTCATTTACAGGAAGCACTTTAGGGCCTCCTCACCTGACACTGCTGTGGGGCCAATGCTGAGTAAAAGGAAGGTGACTCGAGCCCCTGCAGCACCGCAGTAGTCTCCTGGAGACCCAGCTGGGGGAGGCCCCAGCCCAGAGTGGCCCCACGCAGGAAGTGAGGCCTCCCTCCCTCACCGGCAGCTGTGCTCAGGGTGGGGCGCCCCGGGCCTCGCTTCTATCCCCTGCCTGCCGGCCCTCACACCTGTAGGCCTCCCCTGACCCAGCGCCCTCTGCCAGGGCCGCTTCTGTGAGCTCCCGGGAGGGCCACCCGCCTCCTTGTCCTGTGCTGCTCTGGCCGGGGCCAGCCTGAGGGTTGGGACGGGCTCCCTGCTCTGTGCCTGCATCAGCTGACCGCTACCAACTCGCTCCTGGGGGTGTTGTCCCTCCATAGAAAGAAGACGGCTCTGTGAACCGTGACTTCAAGAAGACCAAGACAAAGGGGCAGGTCACCGAAGCCTTCAGGGAGTTCACGAAAGGAAACCAGAACATCCTGGTGAGTTGGGTCGGCACTCAGCAGCCCTCCCTCAACATCCTGCCCCCTGTGGGAGTGACTACTGCCGGGTTACATAGCTCCTGCTGCCGGCCAGGTGCTGTGCTAAGTGCTCCTCACGTCCACTTTGTAGCCCTCTGCTGTGGTTTCTGCTCCCCCTGTAGGCAAGGAAACTTGGGAGGCCGAAGACACACACCTGGAGAAGGGCAGAGCTGGGGTCTGCACCCCAGTCTGCCCGACACAGGAGTCCCTGCCACGCAGCCAGCAGCCTGCAGGCCCGCAGCCCTGTGAGCTGGGGCAGGGACACGGAGTTCGATTTCCTCCACAATGGGCAGGCCAGGACAGGTGCTCTGCCCCCTGGGCCCGGGTCTGGGTGTGTCCTGCTGCCCCAGCACAAGCACCTGTGACAGTCAGAGGTTGTGTGCCCGAGATGTGACCTGAGGGCCCCCGCTGGTGCGTAGTCAGGCCTCTTGGTTCCCGGGCATCTGCTGGTGAGGAGCCAGGGCCTCAGCGATGCTCCCATGGAAGGCACTTCCAGGAGGGCTAATCCCTACTTCCAGGCACCTGCAGCTGCCAGCCGGCCCTGGCAGATGGATTGGAGGAGGCCTGGGAGCCTTCTGTGGGCCTGGATGCTGAGACCCACAGAGCCAGAGGACAGGCACCCCTGGGGCCCACACAGCACCGTGGGAGTTGGTGTACGCTGCGTAGAGGCTGCTGGTAGGGCCTCGCATGGCTCCCACCTCCTCTGGGCTTTCAGGAGTGGGAGCTTCCGGTGGTGTCCAGGAAGACACTGGTGTGACTGCTCCTGGAGCTGCTGTCCCCAGCACCTCCTGTTCACAGGACAGTGTGGGCTGGAGAAAAGGCAGGATTTGGAGCCAGGTCGAGCCCCCTCACCGCCTCTCGGCCTCTTTCCTTGTGGTTAGATGCAGAAGTGGAATAAGTGATCCTCTTCCGTGCCTCTGAATGGGACTCAGTGGAGCTGAAAATCCCCCTCGGTGCAGTGTGTGCAGCTCTGCTTGTATTTCTGTCCCCAGGTTGCCTACCGGGACCGACTGAAGGCCATTCGAACCACCCTTGAAGTTTCTCCCTTCTTCAAGTGCCATGAGGTAGGCACTGTGCCTTGCTCTCTGGGGTCGGGCAGCTGCATGCAAATCCAGAAGCCTTTGGGAGCTCAGAGTGGCTGTGACCAGAAGCAGGCCACCCAGGCTCAGCCCTTGGCTGTGGTAGTGCGGCTGGGTTGGACTGGGTGACTCACAGCCCTGCTCTCTGCATCTGTTTGTTCAGGGCACTGTGGCAGGGGTTCCTCCCCACCCCCAGGAGTCAGGGCAGAGATATTCTGCATGCTGGAGTAGCCACCTGCCCCTCCTGCCACCCCAAGATCTTCAGAGGAGGCCTGGAGCAGTGCTGGCAGGGTTCCGCCACTCTGGGATAGCAAGGCCGGGGCCTCCCACCTGCTGCCACCTCAGGGACATTGCTCTGCAGACTGGGCCACCTGATGGGTGCTCTAGAAATGGTCACCAGGTCCTCTCACAAGTTCTCAGCATGGGGCGTCCAGGGCTTCTAGCCCTATGTGTGTGTGCACCACATGCAGACACACACGAACTTGTGCCTGCACACCGTTACAGCCCCCAGCACATGCACTCCTGGAAGGGTTCACACTGTGAGGTGGGTCCAAGCTCCAGCAGACTTGCAGCACATCCCCTGGAGGGTTTCTAGTGGAGGAACCCTCAGCCTATTGCAGAGAAGGCTGCAGACTCAGGAGGAGCTGGAGACAGGGTCCTGGGTACCTGGGAGAGGGAGCATCCTGGAGGGTAGCACCTTTTTCACCTCCATTCATACTACCACCGCCCCTTCCCAGGTGGAGACTGAAGACCTCACCTGGGATTCCCTTCCTCACGTTTCCCTCTGCAAGGGCCTGCCTGACCCAATGTGTGTGGTGGCCCCGGCAGGGTGCTCAGACAGGGCTGAGGTCCCCAAGGGCACAGCTGGTCTCTCCGACTGCAGAAACTGTTTTAGTCCAGTTACGCTCAGAATGGTCTTTCCGCCTTGGTCCCAGACCCCTCACTACTCCTGTGGCCTCTGTATTTCCCACTGACAAGTGTCCCCTGCAGAGTCCCCTTGCTTCTGCCCACCTCCCTGCAGGAGAGGAGGCTGCCTGCCGGCCAGATCCCAGGCTGAGGATGGGCAGATTTCAGGCAGAGCTGCCCTGTGTCTGGTGGAAGGAGCTCCTGCTCCTGTGCAACACTCTGCCCTCGTCCAGGATGGGAGGGTGGGCTTGCTGTCCCTGAGGGGGTGGTGGGACAAGGACTAGGGCCAGGCGAGCAGGCCCTGCCTGGCCAGAATCTCTAGCGGCTTGTGCTGCTAAGGACCGGGGTCCTTTCCTGAACCCCACAGTAGGGCCTGGAGTCTCTGTGGTCCCCTTTTCTCCAGAGCTGTCGCTAGGGGCACTGGGGAGGAGTGAGGCTGGGAGGGGACGGCTTGTCCCCCAGTGGAACTGCGTGGTGCCCGGAGCTGGTCTGCAGTCCCAGGTGACCTCCCTGCTACTCCCACATCTCATGCAGGGTCCCATGTCCTCTACCCCGGCACCATCCTCTCGGGCCAGCCTGACTGCCCAGCTGAGGAATGGCTGGCCCAGGGCTCACAAGCAGCCTCCTCCTCCGCCCCTCCAGGTCATTGGCAGCTCCCTGCTCTTCATCCATGACCGGAAGGAACAGGCCAAGGTTTGGATGATTGACTTCGGGAAAACCACGCCCCTGCCGGAGGGCCAGACCCTGCAACACGATGTGCCCTGGCAGGAAGGGAACCGTGAGGATGGCTACCTGTTCGGGCTGAACAACCTCATCGACATCCTGACGGAAATGTCCCAGGATGCTCTGTTGGCCTGAGGCCGCCGCTCCTCCTCTCCTCTTGACTTTCCTCCTCGACTTCCTGCCTGCTGCCTGGCCTCAGGCCCCAGAACTGACCCTCCCTAGCTGCACAGCAAGACCCCTGTAGCAGAGGAGAGGCCTTCTCTGTAAATAGTCACCTTCTAGGAGAAACTTGGCCAGTCAGTTGGTAGCACTGGCAGGGCATGGATGGGGTGGCCCTGGGACCCCTGGCAGCACAGGCCCAGGGTGGGCTACCCATGTGGGCCTGCTGCCCCCTGGTGGCCAAAGTTTTTACCGCTCCCACCCAGAGAGGCCCACATCCAGGCCAGGCTCCCGTGCCTCTGTGGAAGAACATGTTGCTTGGGGGCAGAGGACCCTCCAATGAACAGCCCCAGGGCTTCCAGACGTGCCACGGTGGCCTCTTCAGGGATGATATGGGGAGCCTCCAGCTTCGACCCCGACCTAGGAGCCAGAACGCAGAAGCCGACTTGGTAGCGTTCTGATTGCAGGCCTCACCAGGAGGGGGCAGGCAGGAGCTGTGTTCGTCTCTCTGGGATCCTGGTCCTGTTTCAGAGGGAATGTTTTGCAAAAAGCTGAGCATCCAGAGAGGCCACTGCCGCCTCCGGGACCACTGTTAGCAACCTTCCTTGGGCCTCTCTAACGTTCTGTCCAAGGTCCAGAGCTGGGTGGGGCTGGTCTGGGCATAGACACCCTGCAGGGCCTGCTCAGCAGAGGGTGCTGTCTCTTGTCCCCTCACACCCTGGTGCTGGTTGGTCAACCCTGCCCACTTGCACAGGGTCCTTTCACATAGTCGGAGGGGGGCTTAAGGCCAGTGCCAGCCACAAGGAAGCAGGGTTCTGGTGTAATGGCATTATTTCTCCATTTCCTCTGAAATAAGTCTTAAAACCTGAAGGACTCAGATCCGTGCTTCCCTGGGTAGTATGGGTGGCTTCCAGGACACGTGGTGGGTGCCCTGGGAATCCCAGGCCTGTTCCTGGCAGCCCTGGCTGCTTGGATTCCGGGGGACCATTCTTAACTGTAGTTAGTCTGTGTTAGTGATCACTTTGGCAGCACATATACTAAAATTGGAAGTTAGTCTATATTATTGAGAAGAATGTGCAATTTGTATGGTGTTTTAAGAACAAAGCTCCTGGCCCTGTTGCCCTTTAAAACTAAGCCCCTGGTCCCTCTGGCCCTGCTAGCCCCGAATGGCTGCGTGCCTGGGGGGCTGCTCCAGGGGAGGGTCAGGCGGGGGGGGGGTCACCCCCGTGAGGCCTGTTTCCCTTTCATGCTGGGTGGGTGAGTGGCAGTTGGTGGGGGTGGGGGTGAACCAAGAGGATGTGTAAGTATAGACTTTTTAAAAGGAAATCATTTAAACTTCCTGGTTCTTGTTGAAAACTGTGGTGCGCTTCCATGTGGGCTGACTTGCTAAAGGTCACACCCTGCCCTCGCCGAGCCTGAGCTTTGTCAGCTTGTGATCTGGAAGGCAAGCGGCGTGAGGGCGGCACCAAAGGCCAGGCAAGCTGAGGCCGGAGCCGCTAGGTCTGGCGGGGTGTGGACCACCGGGTGGCCTGTGCTTCAGCCATCTGCAGGGAAGGGACGTCAGTTCACACAGACGATCCTCCGCCATGAGTTGGCCAAAAGTGACCCCGAGCAATCTGAGAAAACTATTTGCTGAAGCAAGTTAATTCTATGAACAAAGCTACAGGGACCAGTTTAACCTGTGTGAGAGAACAAAGCTTCCCAAGCACTTTCGGAGGCACCAGCTGTTTTGCAGACCAGGTGCTAATATGCAGGTGATTGATCATTTATTCTGATCATTTATTCACCGGGCCAGGAGCCTCTTTGAGACCAGGGCTGGGCTGTTATACACTGAAGTGGCAGGTGCAGGCCTCCTGCAGGGCTGTTCTGTTGCCACTGTGCTCCGTTTTGCTCCGGTTGTGTGTGTGCCTTGCGCTGTGGTAGCCCCGCACCTCCTCTGCCTCTCCAGCCTTCTCCCGGCCCCGCCCTGCCGTCCGCCTTCCCTGTCTTGGGGGAGACCTTTCCAGAGCCTGTCCTGGTGGCCCAAGGGCAGGGCACCAGGCCCCTGTGTGAGCACTGCTTAGCAAGCTTGGAAGCATCCCTCAACTTCCTCAGACTCCCCTGTAGTGTTCCATAAGAAGTTTGTAAGTTATATTTATTATGTTGGTTTTAAAAAGTTACACAGAACACTAAGACTGAAAGGCTGGGCTCCGATTTTCCCTTGGAGCTTGGCCTTCTCTGAACTTCTTTCCCACCTGGTGGGAGGAGCTGGACAGCAGCCCTGCTTCAGGTGGCCTCTTCCACCTCAGCTGTATTTAGCATCAAGTCTGCCATGTGTGTATAGAACCTGGCCACTCCGGGTGCCTCCCATCAGTGCCTTTTCCTGGAGGAGAGGACCCCTCTTCCTCTGTACCCTTCCCACGGTTCCTGGAGCTGTGAGACCCTGGCCCAGGCTCCCTAATAAAGGCTTTGGAGACCAGTGCTGGCTGCAGTGTGATCCTTGCGACCTAGGGGTCTTGGGAGCCCCCGCCCTGGACTGCATGGTCTCGGCTTGTGAATCCTCACTGTTTTTCCCAGGTCCCTTCCATGAATAGGCCCTCTGGTCTCTGTTGTACAGATGAGGAAACGGAGGCTTAACCTGGGTCCAAAGGGGGAAGAGAGATTGAACCCAGAACGCCTACACTTCAGATCATTTCTGCTTGCTCCTTTCGTGTTAGCATCTGCAGGCAGAGCCCTGGCTCTCCTCGTCTCCCCAGCCCCAACTCCACGCTCGGCGCTCAGCCACTGCCCAGCATGTTCAGTGGGCCAGGCCAGGTGGGACAGCCTGAGTGCAGAAGCCCAGCCACAGGGGAAACATTCTGGAGTCACCTACTATGTGCTCCCTTTGGGCCTCTCTCCTGCCTGGCTTCTTGGGCGCCCATTGGCAGAATGCAGAGCCCTTTACTTGGGACAGGGCTATGTCCCATGTGTGTCACTTCGAGGAGTTACAAGATGGAAGGGCAGAAAAGCCACGGTGCCTTTGCACCCTCTGGCCCTTGCCTGGATGCTCTCCCCAGGTCAACAAATAAAACCTGTGCACTTCTCCAATTCTTGGGGCTCCTTCAGCCAACAGCCACCAACCCTGAGTCCAGCCAGCATCCAGACAGCCCCCAGATTGGCTCCTACCTGTGCTGAGTCGCGCTGTGGAACTCCATTGACCAGGAGGCTGAGACACTTTTTAGGCTGAGGCTGTGCAACCTTACAGTTAGGGAGGGTCTTGAACAGACCTTTCACCAGTGGGAGACAACAACAGGGAGATGGACTTTCTGCCCCAACCCTGCGCTTGCAGTCTGTCTTCTCAGGACAGTCCCAGGTCAAACAGTACCCACAGGTCACACCTGCAGCATCAGCCCCCCCCATCTTTCCCTAGTGCACTCTGGGAATGGTGCACCTCAGTGAACCCGGGCTCACTGAAGACCCAAAACTAGGATTGTGATGCAAATGTCATCTCCCTGGAGGGCTCCCCTGAGCCCTCAGCAAGACCGCACTGGCGGCCTCCTGCACAGCCTTAGACTACAAGCTGTCTGTGGACGGCTAGCTGTCACTTCTCGGTGCCTGGCAGGGAATGGCAGTGCCCCAGTGCCATGCAGTGTGCCGTACTGGCACCCACCCACAGGACACTCGCAGAGGGACTTCCTGGCCTGTCACCTCCCGCGGCTTGCTCTGCACCTTCTGTGTCCCCTGGTCTCAGTATCTCACACCAGACCTCATTGTCACCAGTAATTTACCTGCGAAGACAGCAGCAAATGCCCTCCGGATGCAGAAGTGTCACTCTCCTACTCAGATCCTGTTGTCCGGGGCACTGCAGGAATTCTGTCACCCAGTGAGTGCCACGTACCTGCCAGGCGCCTGCTTCACCTCCTAGTCCCAGTGACAGGATGACTGGCACTCTGCTCTTCCTGGCCTCTCCCAGGGCCTCCGCCCGCACCTCCACTTCTTCAGATGTTGTCCTTCCAGCCAGGAGTGTAGTCGGAGCCACTCGGGACACTCAGGCCTCGCCTTCCACGCCCCTCAACCTGTTGATGGGCTGTGTGGACCCACCTGTGCCCCAGAGGTTCTGATGGGGAGGACAGGACCTCAGGCCCCGAGATAGGAACTGGATGCCGCCCCAAGGCCATACACCGGGGATGAAGAGGTGTCCGACAGCTCAAAGCCAGGATCTCTGGCTGTATCTCATGGCCCTGGGTGTGGCCTGCTCTTAGCAGAAAGGGCTGGCCTGAGGTCAGCAGAATTTGGGAGCCCAATTCCCATTTGAGAGAAGCCTGCAGGGGACTTGTCAGTGACCTCAGGGGCCCAGTGAGCCCTCTGCCAGGCCCCACGTGGTGTCGGGGTCTCGGGAGCCTGGATTGCTGCTGACTCTTGCAGGACCAAGTCGATGCACAGACCACATGCTACCAGCAGAGGGCGGCCAGGAAGCTTGAAGGACAAATGTTCCTCCACTCCGGGGCTGCGGGCATTGCCAGAGCCCTGTGTCCCGGGGAAGTGGGTACCCAGCCTGGGGACCCCTTCTTGATGAGCCTCTACTGGCTGAGTGGCCCTGAGCTGTCCACTCTTTTTGTGAGGTGTCCAGGGCTTTCCCAGTGTCAGGCCACACTGCTTACCGGGAGGGTAACTTACCTAAGATTGCGACTTGGCCTCGTGGCCCACATGCCCTTTACAGGAAGACAGAAGACGTCCCAGTGAGCCTGAATACCGGGAGCAGAGGATGTGTCCTTTTCTCGCCTGTGACAGCTGTGCTGCACCTGGCATTGGCTGTACTGGGCACAGGCAGGCCTGTGAGGACACGCTAGGCACAGATGTGAGCGGGCGTGGGACAGCCGCCAGCAGAGAGTCCTGCGTCTGAGCAGCATGTGTACACTTGCGGTCAAGTTTTGTAAACAGAAAACTAGTTGATAGAATGACAAGAAGAAGATAAGAAAGGGCCGAAGGGCCTCACTGGGGCAGGTGAGCAAGCTGAGCTTTATCGCCAGACTCCCAGGTGGGGCCTGCTGGGCAGGGACGGGGAGGCCACGGGCAGGTTGGGGTGCAGACAGTCACCCGCACTGTCCTCAGCGGCAGACAGCACTCTGACTCTTCTCTCTCCACCTATGGGCACTAGGGTCAGAGTGCACACACAGGTCACCACCTGTCACCACTGTGTCCTGCACGCACCCACACCGGTGCAAGGGAAGCAGTGTGCGTGTGTGCGTGTGTGTGTGTGTGTGTTTCATTTCTGTGGTTTTCACTGTGGCAACACATGTTTGGGTTATTTTAAAAATAGTTTCTGCAAGTTACGGACAAAGTTTCTTACTGCGACAGTAGCCCTGCTCTGTTTCAATGGGGGAAAGGTCCAATTTTAGTCAGGCTTTCTGGCCGCCCCCTCGCGGACACTCGGAGTCTCCGGTCCTCCCCGCGTCTCTGCCCTGGCAGCCACGGAGGCGGCGGTGAGCACCGGGTCTGCGTCACCTGTGGGAGGTGTGTGGGCGTCACTGCAGCCGCTCGGGAGCCTGAGCTCAGAGGCCCCACGGACGGCCACGGCCCCACGGGGAGAAGCACGGCCTCCGCGGGACAGAGGCGGGCTGCGGGGGGAAAGAGGGTTCCGGGGCCGCGGTGAATTACCACAAGGTCCAGGGCTGGAGGCCACAGAACCCAGAGCCACCTAGACGGGAGCTCAGTGTCCGGGGCCCTGGGCAGGAGAGGCGCAGGTTCCGGGCTCCTCCGCCGCGGTGTGGCAGGGTGGGATGAGGAGAGGACACCGAGGCGCTGGAGGAGGGGAGAAGCTCAGCCGAAGCGCAGGCCAGCGGGCGAAGCCTGGGGGAGACACAAGATGGGGCAGGTAGGGCCGGGCGCGCTCAGTCACAGGGTCCTGAGGGGCCGCCGGGCGGAGGCCTCGGGGAAGCCGGGTCTGCGTGGCCGGGGTGACAGCGGGGACAAGAGGGTGAGGGTTTGCACCATTCCACTGAGTGAGGAAAGCAGAATTAGAACTGAACATGGAAGGAAAGGAGTAAAAGAAAAGCAGCAGGTTAGCGATGATTCGAGCCCTGAGATCCGAGAAATGTGCTAGTCAGCTTTCCACCCCTACCCGACTTTGAGAGGGAAAAGGTTCACTTTGGCCCATGGTCTTGGAAGGCTGATTCCCTGGCTGGTTGGGCAGCTTGTCAGGGCAGCGCACATGGCAGAGAAGACCTACTGACCTCAAGCCTGGGAATGAAACGAGGAGGAACAAAAAGGGGCCAGCGTGTCACTGTCACCTTCCAGGACGCTCCTGCAATGACCTGCACAACTCACACCGGCCCCCCTCTTATGGTCCCACCGTGTCCCGACAGCACCAGGCTGCTGACCAGCATTTATCACATGGCCCTGTGGGGACACTCAGGACCTGCTTAGGAGTCAGTGGTTTTTACTTTCTGATGGGTTTGTTCAACAATGTAGCAAGCATAGTTGGTTTTCATAACGAGCAATATGTATGTAGACAAGTATTTTGTTTTCCTTATTCCCTCTGGGACTACTAATTTGTCCTGGCAGAGGCGGGGGGCCTTGCTGTGTCCCTGTGCCCTTCACATTAGGCGCTCGCCTCACACTGTGGAGGGTCTGCATCATGGCCCTTTAGTGTCCTCACCTATCACCTAGGGCCTGGCGCACACAAGCAGATTAATCAGGGCCAGTCGCTGAGGCTGAGGTAGAGCTGTGTGCTTAGTATGCCAAAGGACATGGGTTCAATCCCAAGCACTGCAAAATAAACACATAAGTACATGTATCTTACTTGAATGAATGCAAGCATAAAGGCCTCACACAAATCATGCATCTCACCCAGCAAGGAGCTGAATCCTGGGAGCCCTTGGGATTAGCACAGCTGCCTGGGCTTGGCCAGATGCAATGACTTGTTCTATTCATGGTGATCACAAGTCATTAGCAAAATCTATTCATGAAGAAAAATCTAAGTGATTGTAAATGCTAAAACTCTGTGCAGGAAGAAGCAAGAACAAATAATATATCAACTCAGAAGTAAATGAACTCATTAGCGAGCCATGCTGTTTTAGGACGGTTTGGCTATCACTCTCCACACTGTGCAGACACTACCCATGGGTGCAGCCACTCTCCAGGTTTTCTTTGCAGAGAGCCTGTGCCCTGCCTCGGGAAGGGTGTCACACTGCGACAGTGAACCCGTGAATGAGCAGTGTCCTTGGGACTGGTCAGCCACACCCCTGGCGTGGAGAGGACACCGCCCTCGAGTGCTTAGCTCCTTGGAAGAAGCACAGTTACTGCCCTCTGGCTGCCCTGGGGGATCTGCACAGGGCCAGAGTGATGCGGCCCCCACTCCAGTTTGTCTGCCTGTTACTTTGAGTTTTATTCTCTCCCCTGGATGAAAAATCTGAAAAGAAAAATAAATACTGAGCATGGCGCTCTATGTCACAGGCCCTAGCTGAAGATGGGTTCCGCACCCCTGGCTGGCAACGGCTGCATGAGGAAGCAGGGACCTGGCCCTCCCTTGGTTCTCAACTGTTTGGGTCTCCACAGCTTCCTGAAGAAGCTCAGGGGCAGGACCTGTGTTTGCATTTTGCTGTCATTTGAATCCTTATAAAAATACAAAGAGCAGTGGTAAACATAAAAAATAGTGTAAGTGCATAATTCTTCTTCCGTCTTTTATTAGCTTGCTTTAAAAGCAATTGCTGAAACTAGGTGTGGTGGTGCACACTTTAATCCCAGCACTCTAGGAGGCCAAGGCAGAAGGATCCCAAATTTGAGCCCATCCTGGGCAATTTAGAGGCTTAGTGAGATTCTGTCTCAAAATAAAAAAGAGCTAGGATATATCTCAGTGAGAAGGCGCTGTGTTCAATCCCCAGTATCTTAAAAAAAAAAAAGCACAAAACAAAAAGTATACAAATTATTATTAGAACTACCAAGATATAGAAATGTAATATATTTTGTAACAGCACAAAATAGGTGGGTAAGAAAACCTGAAAAAAACAGAATGAAGAAATGATACCAGATAGTAACTTGAATTCATAAAAAAAAACCCAAGAAAATAAAAAATGGATATCCAAGAAGTTAACAATAAATTTTATAAATCTATTTACTCTCCTTTCTTGTTTAAAATACATTAAATGATATAAAGTAATAACTATAACAATGTATTGTTGAGTTTTTATATATGTATATAACATACATATTATGTACATATGTGTATATTATGTTTATATATAAATACAATAAACACATAACAGAGAAGAGAAAATAAAATTATATAGAAGTAATGTTTTGATATCTCACTGGGATTAAATTACTGTAAATCTGGCCTACATTGCCAGAAGTCCCTATGTGTATGGTAAATCCTAGAATGACCATGAAGAACCAAAAATAGAAGGGAAAGTGGGAGGGGGAGGAAAAAGGAAAGAGGGGAAAGGAGTAAATATGAGGAAAGGAAAAGGTGGAAGCCAAGGTGTGTAAATAGGGAGGGGTGGAGGGATTGAAGGGCGGGCAGGGTATGGGGATGAAATAAGAAGCAAAATAAATTCTGTAAAGGTACAAATTCCCAAAGATGAAAGTCATATTGTATACCTAAAATGTACCAATAAAATGAATGAATAAAAAAGAACTAAAATATATTATGAAAAAATAAAGGAATAAAAATATTTTATATAAAATTCCTAGAAAGACAAAAACTATTGTATATGACTCTGAGACAAACATAAAATCTAAATAGACCTACAAAGAGATTGAATTAGTAATTTAAAAGTACACAGAAAATCTCACGCCCAAATGACTTCATTTAGAGAACGATTAATGCCAATTCTCCATCACAAATAGAAGAGTAGGAAACATTTCCCAACACATTCTGTGAAACCAACCAGTACCATCCTGGTAAATTCAGACAAAGATACAACAAAAAAACTGCAACCCACTATTTCTTGTGAATGGAGATACAAAAATTCTCAACAAAATGCTAGCAAGCCAAATACAGTAACATATAAAGGGGTTCACCTTAAACAAGTGGAATTTACTCCAGAATTTTTTACAAATAAATGTAAATAAGATAAACGATGTCAGTAAGGGACAAAAATCACACAATTATCTCAAAAAATATTTAAAAGCATTTAACAAAAGTTTACACCCCTTTATGATTTAAAAAAAAACAAAACACTTAATAACCTAGGAATAAAAGAGAACTTCCTCAACCTGATAAAGGATATCTATGAAGACTCACAGCTCATGGTCAAAGTCAAGGACGTCCTTTCTCCACCTCATTCAGCTCTGTACTGGGGTTCTGGCCAGGGCGTTAGGTGAGCAAGAAATAAAACTATTTCTAATCACAACAACATGCCCCTATATATAGAACACCCAAAGTGGTGCACTGTAAAACTATTAGAACAGAATCTGAAAATCAAGATAAGGGAGGAATTCCATTTACAAGAACATCCAAATAATAAATAGGGCCAGGGGTGTAGCTCAGTGGTAGAACACTTGCCTCATATGCACATGGTCCTGGGCTCAACCTTTAGCACTTCGAATGAATAGAACAGAATAACCAAAAAAGCACAAAATGTATCCTCTGAAAACTGCATAAGATTGTTGAAAAAAATGGAAAAGACCTAAATAAATAGAAAGACACTTATGTTCGTGGACTGGAAGACGTAGTATTAAGGTGGACAATTCCTATCAAAATCTTAGCTGGTAGGACTTCACCAACTGATTATAAATTCAGACAGAAAGGAGAGGATCCAGAATAGCCAAGACAATGTTGAAAGAAAAACAAAGTTGTAAGGCCCACACTTCTCAATTTCAAAACTTACAACTCAGCTACAATCATGGAGACTACACATGTAGGCTGGGACAGAATTGAGAGTGCAGAAGTAAACGCTCAACATCAATGGTTTGACAGTGGTGCCAAAACAATTCATTTCATGGACTGAATGTGGTCACAGAGCACTTTGGAAAACAGCCTCGCTGCACCTCAGTGGATCCGCAGTGGACTTACCTGTGACTCAGCAATTGCACTAGTAGGCATATACCCTAAAGAATTGAACACTTAGGCCACACAAAAACTGGTACAGAAATATTTGTAGCAGCATTATTCAAAACAGCTGAAAAGCAGAAGCAACCAAAATGTCTAAAAAGTAATGAATGACTAATAAAATTGCTATATCCATACAGGCAGTATCATTTAGGGATCAGAAAAATCATGCTACGTGGATGAAACTTGAACATGCTGTGAAGGGAGCACAAGAGACCACGTCATGCATGACCATGTGTGCGACAGGCGGACAGGTGGGGCAGGGGCAGAAAGCACAGGGAGCACCAGCCCTCGTTGCTGGGGTTGGTGAGCGCAGGTGAGGAACGACTGGTAGCTGGTGTGTGGTTTCTTTTGAGGGTGCCAAAATGTCCTAAAATGTGACTACCCTTAATAAGAAAACCTATGCGGTCTGGGGTTGAAGAGAGGGCAGGGAATGAGAGAAAATAAGAACCAAGATGGATTATATAAAGGTGCAGTTTCCAGTGATGAATGTCATCACTTTGTATACCTTAAATGTACCAATAACATTAGCTAATTTTTAAAAAACCTATGCAGTCTTAAAGGGAATATTCAAACTTTGTGTTCATAAATTTAACTACCTGAACACAATGGACATGGACACAAACTACCAACGCTCACTCAAGAAATGAAATGTTTAAAAATTGAATAGTTCCATATCTATGAAAGGAAATTAATTTGTAGAATTAATCTTTCCAGAGAAAACTCAGGCCCACATGGTTTTACTGATGAATCCCACACACTGAAGGTAAATTAATACTAGTTCTCCACTAACTTTTCCAGGAAAAAAAAAAGAGGGAACACTTTCCAACTCAGCTCATGAGGCCAGCACTACTCCCATTTCAAAGCCAGACATGGACACTTTAAAAGAAAGTGACAGACTAGATTCTTTCAAGAACATATACACAAAAAATTTAAAAAGATATTAGCAAGTCACACCCAGCCATAAATAAAAAGGAGAATAAATAAATCCTGGGGTTTATCCTGGCTGCAAATTTGAAAATTAATCAGTGTAATTAGTCAGATCAACAGACTAAAAAGGAAAAGACACATGATCTCGCTGGTAAATGCTAAAAGCATAAAACAAAATTCAGCAGTCTTCATAATAACACCACCAGTGTTCTAGCAGCAGAAGGGAGCTCCTTAACCTTAAATGTTTCTAGAAAGAAGCTACAACTAACTTTATATTTAATGGTAAAAGACCAACATATTCCTCCTGAGAATGGGGACAAGGTAAACAGGCCACCTCTTCATTCCTATTGACACCGTACTAGAGGCTCTGGCCACTGAAACAAGGGAAAAGAAACAAATTAAAGCATGGTAAAAATTTAAATGCTCTTTATTTGCAGATGGCATTAAGAGCTACTCAAAATATCCAAAAAAGCAACTAAAGCTAAAAAGTTTAACAAGGTGAATATATAAAAATCAATTATATATCTATATAATAGCAAAGAATATGTTTATTGATAGTTTTAAAACTACCACTTACAGAGCCAGGTGTGGTGGTGCATGCCTACAATCCCAGTACTTGGGAGGCTGAAGCAGGAGGATTGCTGCAAGTTTGAGGTGAGCCTGAAATGCATAGCAGGACCCTGTCTCAAACAAAACAAAACAAAAAAACCCCAAACTGTCATCTATAATAAAATTGCATCAAAAGATCATAAATACTAAGGTATAAAAAATATGAACACTATATATTATGATGATGCAAGAAACAAAGAACTAAATATAGGTCCAGCGATGTAGCTCAATGGAACCGCACTGCCTGACAAGTGCAAGGCCCTGAGTTTGATTCCCAATACAAAAAAAAAAAAAAAAAAAAAAAAAAAAAAAAA